CAACTCTTTCCCCGACAACGTCACCTCGATACCACTGCTCCTCCTCCACCTCGCGAGCTGCCGCTCGATTGGAGGTAGCTGGTTCGCGAGCAGAGTCTCCCTTTCTCGCTTCATCGGCACCTTCGCCAGCTCCGTCTCTCTCGTCACCGTTCTCCTCGGCTCCGTTTCGATGGTGCAGATCCCAGCATCCGTTAGTCTATAGAGAGAAAGAGAGAGAGAGAGAGAGAGGCTATTCAAATGCACCGATTTCCACCGTGGCTTATCCACTTCGCCGAGCGATTTCGTTTTTCACCTCGCGATAGCAATTTTCTGGCGACTGCGTCTCGCTGATAACCGTCCACCCTCGCTCCAGCTCACTGAGCTCGCGTTGCAACGCGTGTTCCACCCTCTCTCTGGTTTCTTCTTTTTTTTTTTTTTTTTTCTTCTTCTCCTCTCGTCTCTTTGTATCGTTCGGTCAACCTCCTTGTCCGGCTTGCTCTCCTACTCGCGAGCCTTCATCGACACCCCTTCGTTCTTTGTCCCCTCGTTCGTGCATATATATGCTTGCGACGCTTCGCGTATGCGCTCGGCTCGGATTCGAGTCTCGCTCTTTGTCAGAGTGATAGGGGTTCATGGGGGAAGAGGAGGGGTCCCTTTGAGCGTGTGGTTCATTATACGCAGAGTGGAAGGAGATTCTTGCGTCTGAAGATGAATTGAGACCGAGTTGAGGTGGCATCGAATTTTGGTAATTCCTCAGGTGTAAGAATTTCGTTCGTTCGATTCTTGATTTCTTCGTTCGTCTTTGTGCTTTCGTATTTCTAAGCTTTTGGAGTTCAGATCGTTTCTGGAGGTTTTCGCCTTCTTATATTTTTAAGATTAGAGTTCTTTGCAGCCTTTTTTTTAAGATTCGTCAATTGGTCATTTGTTATAGGTGTAAATTTTTGTATTTAATTGTTCCTTGGTTGTGCTTTTCTGTTCAGTTGTTGGTAATATATCTCACGGTTGGTTACACGTAAGTACATCGTGCCTCCGATTCTTTATCTCTTTGTATTCTTGAGCTTTTATTGAGAGTCTAGATCACTCTGAGATTGATTTACTTTTAAAATTAGAGATGGAGTTGGTGATCAAGGTTCACCAATTGTGTTCATTTGTTATAGATATCACAAATTTTTATCAAAATTCAGTAAATACTGTCTGACTGATGTAATTTTCTATTTCTTCGTCTTGCCAACATCGTGAATTAATACGGATTTATGAATTAATGATTTAAACGTGAGAATGATTGAACGATGAAACGTGGCCGGAAAATGAAAGAGGCTAACATCTACAAGTATTGAAAACAATAATTCAAATGATAGTTCAGTGTTTAAGTAACGATCGTGGATAATTCATCTCTGACAACTAATCTTCGTTTCTCTGCGTACTAATTAACATACTATGTAAATTATCTGCGAGGTTCATCGTCAGTTCTGAGATCAGATTAGCAACACAGTTTCCTACAAGTAATTACTCTCTCTCTCTCTCTCTCCCTCCCTCTTTTCATGAGCTAAATTAACGCAATATAATTTATCTGTGAAGAGCATCACGAAACGTGTCGTTTGAACGAATAAATTAACACTCTTAACGTTTCATTTTGGTTTTGAAATATTTCATAATGTATTTCGTAATATTTAACATTTTTATGAATCAAGTCAAATATTATTATGAATACTACGTCTTGTACATTTTTATCTAAGCCTAATTATGATATATAATTTAATTAAATATTAAATTTTAATTAATTAAAATATATTAAATATATTATTAAAATTATTATTATTAAGCATTATTAAAACATGTTAAATTTTAATTGATTAAAAATTAATTATGATATATTAAATTCATTGTCCAAATCATACGAGACACCAGTGAAATATTAGTGAAATCGTGCAAACAAACAATCGTCTTCCAAATATTCCCCCCAAGTAATAATACTTCGAGTCAGTTTAGGTTGCTGATAAAAGTGGAACACTTTCCGATCTCTGGCACAGCATCGGATAAGTCGAAAAATCTCACGAAACGCGGCAATATTACGTCCCTCGGGCAAAATGCGACCGAGTGGAGAAAATTATTGCGACGACTAAATCCATAAAGGATAACCAGCGAGAGGACGCACGAATATTCAGCTCGCAAGAGCGTGAAGAACGAAGAATCCAAGAGCCGGGTTGTGGGAGGATAGGTAGGTGAGGATAAAAAGGTTGGGAACTGTATCTCGTTGGACGCGGAGGAAGCCTCGAACGGTTTTGCGTAGGACAATATTAGTGATCTTTATTCGAACTTGGTCGTCTCAGTGCCAGAAATTATATCACATTGGTTATTCTATGAATCCAAAAAAAAAAAAAAAAAAATGAAAATAACCACGTAATTGTTATAAATACTTTCGTGAATTTACTATCTGTTTGCTCTAACGACGTTTGTTCGACACTTGTCATCTAATATAGTTATCCTGATGAAGAAAATTTTACTCGCACTTTAGTATTTCTTTGTAGTTGAGCTTCTATTATTCGAACAACTGCCAAATGTTTGGACTTGCTTTTGTATTTTTATTACTCATAGTTCTTCCTTCTTCTTTCAGTATGTATATTATTATTAACGTTGGTCAAATGTTGCAATATTGTTTAATTTTTTTCACGTTAGTTCCAATTGTATTGTAATTGAAATATTAGTTACAAATTATTTCACGCTACACACATCAGTTATTCAAATTTATTACCTGACACTGAATTCTCGATATAAAACAAAGAATTAATTTGCCAGGCGTTGCCTGGTTATTCTGAGAATTAATTCATTGAGTTACTGGCTAATCTTTTTATATCGAGAGTATCGTGAACAAACGATAATTTGAAAAATAGGTAGTACATCATATTTTTGAGAAACAGAGTATACACGATACGCAACAATTTTATGCACCATTTTATTTATGAATTCATGTAAATGCAATCCAACTGCTTGTCCCCTGACAGATTCTGCTCGTACCCTTCGTGGCTTGGACTTTCGTTCACTCGAGTTTCGATTGTGACTCGTCCGATGGCGGATTAAGAGGGCAACGAAGCCGGAATAGGCGGCGAGTCACGAGAGTGTCGGACGATATTCGTGGAACGAGCGGAATTTATTAACGCTGCCGAGCACCGGTGATCGCCGCTGATTGGAATTGATAGTTACCATTGCTCTAGGCCCCTTGACCGGCCGATCATCGCGATATATTATTATTACGATATCTACGCGAGACCGGTGTGCTCGTTTCTCGTTGAGCATCCGCCAGACGTAGGCGCGTGAAATCGCACAATGGAATTTTGAGAGGTTGATATGGCTCAGTCTGTAGTAGCGAAGCAACTTGGCAAGTGATTAAATTCGTATTTCAACTGCTGCATCCTTAGATAGAATCGCTCGATCAACTGCTTTGTTAATTATCCAGAAATTTGGATTTTCATCGCAGTAAATTACTGGATGGTAGTTTGATATTTGTTAGTTTGGAATAGATCTGAGGTATAATTTTAAACGAAAGATGAAAAGAATGAACAAAATTATTAAAAACTCCCACATTCCCTGCTTTTCCTCCTTATTATATAAGTATTTCGTATATGAAATTTAGAGTATAATGCACATGAGAAATTTCGTACTTGCATATAAAGAAACGAAATGAGGTTTTCTTAGATTTCAATACGAATTTTATTAAGAAAGCTTGTATTTTAATAAACGACATACTTTTATTTAATTGCAAAGGGAAAAGAGAATATATATTTATAAACATATAAACAACTAATGACTCTAACGAAATATAGTTGCCACGTACGTATCGTGTATTATGTTCGCGCGTATTAATTCAGTAGAATGAGCCGTCTGACCAAGTGGTAGTTGCCAACTTTGGACGAACGTACGTGACTCCCGTGTGAAAAAAATCTGTTCTCTCCAAGCACAATATCACTTTGAATCTATTATACGGAACATCTTATTGGCAGGTCTAAGCATAGAACATCGTGTAATTGAATGGAGCTTTTGGCACTGAGCTTAATACTCGGGGTGTCAAAAGGATTACAGGCTCCCATTGAAACACGAGATGGTCATTTCAATCCTCCTTTCTAATTCAAATTCGTCTCTAAATCGAACTCTACGAAAATGCAACACCCTCCTGTACCTCGTTTCTATGCTCTCGAAACTTTCTCCGATCACTATGACACAATTGCAACGTACATATATTTGAAACGCATTCGTAAGCGCAGAATATCATTGCAATAACTTTTCAAATCGCTTATTCGCGACGAAAAGAGATCGTCTATGCGCCACGGAACAAAACTCGCGGCTATCATGATCTACTAGTCACAAAAAAACACACGTCCATTGGAATGAATGTGCATATCGGTGTAAGAAAGTCGATCAAGTCGAGTAGTTTGGAACTTAATTACGGGGGAAGGAACGATCGGCCTTGCGATCGTACGCTGATTAAAACGATTCATAAACGTCGCATGAAAAATCTTTGATAGTTCTGAGAGAACGCTAGCGATAAACTTCGATTTCCTGCATCGGCGGAGAGCCAGTCAGGATATTAAAAAAGTTCCGCGTGTTATTCGCCGTCAGCCTCGATCGTGCTCGATCGGTGGATGCAAAGAACCACGATAAAGGAAGGAGGCTATAGTTTTTGCTAATCCGACGATCTTGATGACGAAGGTTTAGCTGTTGCGAGCGTATCATATTGAAAATAGCCTAGCGAAGGATGCACGGAATGCTGTATCATACCGGTTAGCGATTGATCAACAAAGATGACTTGTTACTACCGTCGACAGCGGTATCTCGAAGCACGGCCAGCCATTTTTATCGAGATGTTATCGAGCGCGTATTTATTGAGCAGGAAGAGTGTACTTACACACACTCACACACACACACACACACACACACACACACACACACACACACATATACGCGTAAAAACGAGCGCGGATTTCGATGGGCTATCGGACTTTATTAGGTTTCAAGAACTCACTTACGTGAATGTCTTTCACGACGCTCGTACATCATTGTAATTGCTTGTGTACCCCGCTATCTGTTCTGCTCTCTGCAGCCACGGTAAAAGTTCAGTTCTTAACAGTTTCTGCGACTCGGTCTATGCATTCATTCGCCTTGGATCGAATCGGAAAGTATCGACGAGGAATCACTCTCTCGGTGTACGTTTTGCGAATTTCTTTCTGCTTGCGCAGCGTATCTCTTGTATGCGTTCGACTACATTTGGCTCGGTCCAGCTCGTACGAGTTATGGAAACTTACCAGTGGCGCCAGAAATCTATCGTCTGTGCAAGCATCGAAGTCACCGGGGCCTCGGTCCAACTCACCACTTGTTGTTCGACGATCAACACGTACGCACATAAAATTTCCATCAATGTCCCCCTTTCCTCTCGCTGTCCGATTGTAACGAGCGTTCTCTAAACAATAATCCATTACTAAAAATGATCCAAATGATTCCGTTAGCAAAGCACGACGTGTCCGCGACGAATCACAATTACTATTACCACGAAAATTGCCGGTCTTTCAATTTCAATTTTCGTCACACAGCTTTCACAATGTTCTGGAGGTCATCGTTTCATCCTGTTCCTCTCTACGAATCTCTACCTGTGGTCCGTCTCTCTCCGTGTCATTCTCGCACTCCGTCGGTCGCCCACGTGCCACGCGCTTCGTTCCAGCCGCTCGTTCATCGCAACCCGCGACGCGAGTGACCCCTGACAAACTCGCGGCGGTTTCGTTTATGAAACCCGACACCTTCCGCGTTAAAACCGCATTACACGATCCTCCGGGTAGCTCCGGGAACTGGCTCGATGGGCTCGTGGATCTGGAACCGGAAGTCCAACACCTGTCAGTCTGTTGCGCGTGGGCCTTTGGATACGAGTCTCTCACGAGGCCACTAGACGATTCCAAGAACGATCGCAAAGATCGGACTTTTTCCAACAGGGGGCCGAGAGACATTCCAATTGGTCATGGGTACACGAGAGTCCACACCTGGATATTACGCTTCGACGAGCGTTTGTTTATCGATCGAACTATACATGCTCCGAGGCGGCCTTTCTCTCACGTTCCCGGCTCGCAGGAAGTTGGCAAATCCTCCTTTTTTCGTCTCGTCTCTGTTCCTCCTGCGGCTCCCTCGGTCCTCGGTTCGCCTCTTGCTTTCCTTCTATCGTTCGCTCTTCTTTTTTTTTTTTCGCCTGCTCTTTCCTCCACGCTCTTTCGCCCGTGCCCCGTGCACGTTTCTCTTCCTTTCCTCGGCCTCTCTGCTATTCTCCCCCTTTCTCCCCCGCCCTCCTCTTCCTCCCTGTCCCCCTGGCCGTCGCGCCCGTTGCACCTCCCTCGATCGCGCTCGCGCGCGCACCAAGCCTAATCGTCCACTTTGCCGATACGGTGAAATACGCGATTTATCCTCGTCACGCGTCACAAGGCACGACCGTGTCTGAGAATCGAACTTGTCAGTCAGTGGACGATCCTGTTTACTCCGAGCATCTGCTCTTGCAACGGGGACAGTCCAAACGAGCTCTTCGACACCTGTTGACAAAAATCATTCCTCTAGGTAGCTTCCTGGCATTGGCATTTCCTCCTCTATCTTGGCAATTACGCGTAAAAATAGATTTTCACTGGTTCGAACTGGTCGTGTTGCCGCATGAAAGTTCTTTCACTGTATCCGTGGTATCTGCGAACCGCGCCGGAGGGTATCCCATCCTCTCCGAGCTGCTTCTTCCTCCGTCGATCCCCTGTCGATTCGCGTGATCATAAACCTCGCCGGTAATCGTCGGAAATCCTCTCGAATGTACTCTCGGCTGCTCGTAAAATTCCCGTCCATGGCAACAGAGAGCTGGAGGATCGTTGGAACGTCGATCGAGACGAGACGAACTGGAAGATCGCGAACATCCGCGTAAGGAGGAAAAGAAGAAGAAGAGAAAGAAAAAAAAGAGACGAAGAAACGAAACGGATCACGAACGAATCGAGAAGCACGAGACGTGGATCGTGGATGGCACGCACGAACCGAGAGCTTCACGAATCGAGGCACGATTCGAGAATCACAGGGTGGCTCATCCAAGGGATGACCTTGCCCTAGGACAACCTCGCTGCTCCTCCTCGTCGGGGCATCGGCGAACGACTGAGGGCTGCGGACGTCGGGCCCCGGAACCGGGGACCCCGACACGCCACGATCCGCTCGAGCACTGCACCGTGTTTCAGGACCAGTTCGGCCGCTTCACTTGGCTCCGAAGGAAGGATGCCGTGCGTGGTTGCTCGCCTCCTCGCGTTGCCCCTCGATCCCCTCCTCTGGCTCCCTCCTCTGCCTTCCACAGCCTCCTTGCTCGCTGGCTGCTACTCTCGCAACCCCCTCCCCGACGTCGCTCGTCCAGATCGCCCCCCTTTCCAACGCGTTGCCCCCTCGTGCTCGCTGACGAATCTCTTCTTTCGCGCGAACGAAGAGTTGGCCGTGGTCAGGAGAGCCGAACGCGCCGAATCCGCACCGACCGTAGTCAGGCTCTTGGCTTTTGGCTCTTGGCCCTCGAGGGTGACTTCATTCAACAGTTTTGAATCATCGCTACGATGACAACAGTACGGAGTGATTCTACTTTTCTTTTTTTCAATAAACGTAGATTTCCTATCGAAAGACTTGAAGCATTGAGGAAGATATTTAAATCGTGGTTGCTCGAAAGTGCAAATCATGTTGATTCATTATGAATTCACTGAAATTACTGGAAATTGACACAGACTCTCGAAATTGCGATGCATACACACTCGTTTACACGAGTTGTCGTTTGGCAATTTTGCAATATCGAGCCGAGGCAGATGTATGATAACGTAGCGCAATTTAATTCCCTTTTCACCGTAATATTTTGCAATCACAATTATGCCCGTCATCCACGCCTGTTCTGGGTGAAGTAATCTCGCGACTTATTGACAGTAGTGTTGGTACGTTGAATGGTCTAGTCAGACGCGATAACTGATAAACGAGTTCTCAAAAGCTGCTACACTCAACGGAATCAAATTACGATTCGGAAAGATTTTATCCTGGAACTTACTCTTCCCCTCTACCTCTCCCGCCCCTTGATACACGTACATACGTATGCACGTAACTACTATATTCTCGTACGTTTCATTCATTTTAGTTCTGGTTCATTAACACCGGTAACAGCATAAATTCTTAACCAGATGATTTTGCTGCTGCCTCCTATCCTTCTTTCCTATCGGCATCTGTCTCGCCGTTTTCTTCCTGTACGCTACAATTGACGTGTCTTACACAGATGGTTAGCTACGAGCCTACCACGGTTTGCAGTCGTTGTCAAAGCGTTTTTCCTTTTATCAACCGCCGTGAAATCCTGCCCCTTCATCTCTCTCTCTCTCTCTCTCTCTCTCTCTCTCTGACGTATCGGTCTCGTCGATCTTCGCTCGCGGTGCATTAATCTAGAGTTTGAAACGACTCTACCGGTTATCTTATCAATCGGACGTTGTACGACAAAGTTGCGTTTCACCTGGCTCCGGTTAGCGCAGGCCGTTATCTACAATCAAAGGAACGGAAGTCATCCGCGGCCCAATCTGCGCTGGATCGACTTGAATTTGACAAAGTTTGCCCGCAGGTGACTGCTGGGGGGGGCGAAAAATATCGTGAGTTCTCGCGCTGCCTACCGTTCTCGCCGGTATCTGCGCGTCGTGATCTGCGTCGAACGATCGGCTCCGAACGTTGTTTCACCGCGTAGCAGCAATCCTCTCCTCTCTTTCTTTTGAACCGGTGCCGATGCAGCACGACGATCGTACGTACAGCACCGAGCCTGCCAAGATAGCGTTGCCCCCTTCTTCCGTTGCTTTCCCTGCTGCCAATCGCATCCTGGATCCCCCCTGCGAACCTGATGGCCCACCTGGGCCCAACCTCTTCGCGTCCGACGGGAGCCAATCGCCGTGTCTAACGTACGATCTAATGTCTCGGTTGTAACGGGTGTCGAAAGTGGAGGGAGATCGATCCGTGTTCCTTGTATTGTATCACACGTATGTACGTACCATACGTGTCGGCGTTCCGCGTTACGATAGACTGGATCGCTGGATCAGGGATTCTGCTTTCAGTTGGAAAGCCTTGTCTCGCTGAGACGTTGTTCGCGAATCTCAGGATTTTTTTCTTTCTTGGGAAGATGTCAGACAGCAATGTACATTTCGGTATTGATGAAAAGAAGAATCAGGTACACGAGCCTCGAGTAGAAAATTCCTGTCTCATCCAGACACTTGGCACGGATTTTATGATCAACTTTGAGAGCTAGAAGTTTAGCAAGTGATTTTGAGATGAATTTAGAATAGTAATGCTCATGTCGATATCAGTGGAGATGATTCAGGTACTGAGCCTCGAGTAGAAAATTCCTGTCTCGCTCAGACACTTGGCACGGATTTCATGATCAATTTTGAAAGTTAGAAGTTTAGCAAGTGATTTTGAGATGAATTTAGGATAGTAATGCTCATGTCGATATCAGTGGAGATGATTCAGGTACTGAGCCTCGAGTGGAAAATTCCTGTCTCGCTCAGACACTTGGCACGGATTTCATGATCAACTTTGAGAGCTAGAAGTTTAGCAAATGATTTTGAGATGAATTTAGGATAGTAATGCTCATGTCGATGTCCGTGGAGATGATTCAGGTACTGAGCCTCGAGTAGAAAATTCCTGTCTCGCTCAGACACTTGGCACGGATTTCATGATCAACTTTGAGAGCTAGAAGTTTAGCAAATGATTTTGAGATGAATTTAGGATAGTAATGCTCATGTCGATGTCCGTGGAGATGATTCAGGTACTGAGTCTCGAGTAGAAAATTCCTGTCTCGCTCAGACACTTGGCACGGATTTCATGATTAACTTTGAGAGTTAGAAGTTTAGCAAATGATTTTGAGATGCATTTAGGATAGTAATGCACATGTCGATGACAGTGGAAATGATTCAGGTACATGGACTGAGCCTAGAGTAGAAAATTCCTGTCTCGCTCAGACACTTGGCACGGATTTCATGATCAACTTTGAGAGTTAGAAGTTTTGCAAGTGATTTTG